AGTGTCCAAGACGGAAGGCCGCAGATCAGATGATACGATTATAAAATCGATCATCGACCTGTAGCCCCGGGCATGTTCGTACCATGTCCACTTATGGACACCCTTATGCTCGAACATAGTGTTCGTTATGGACAAACCATGCATTGCACAGAAGTCCAATAACAGAATACCACTCGGATTCAGATCAGGGAGGCCGTTCTTCCCTATCACCCCCCAACAACAAGTCTCTGGTCAGAATTCACAAACTGGGCATTTCTGTAGACCCTGCAGTTTTGCAGGGTCTCCAGCATCTGCCCACGAGGATGTGATCGATCTCCTTCACTGCACCAGCAGTATTGGAGTACCAAGTCCAACCATGCAACTCAGGGTGTTGGAACGAGGATCCAGTGACCCGCAGCCCCTGACCTTTCACAAAGTCAAGGAACATGGAGCCACTCTCACCCTGGTCTTCAGACCCAAGGTGACCGACACAATCCTCATATCAAGTCCTGTCAGTGCCAGTGGTGGCATTGAAGTCACCCATGACCAGAGGAGTGTCACATCGTGGGCACCCAACAACCACCGAGCGAAGTTGTGAGTAAAATGTCTCTGGCAGTGAGACATCACTCACCAAGACAACAGACAAGATACCCAAGGAGTTCACCTGGGGCCTGTACTACAAAGCAGGGTTACTGGCTTATCGGGGTAACTTGTGGGATTTAAGGTAGTCTGGGCAAAATGTAAGTGAACGAATATGAAGTCCATTTAAACTGTGATACCTTAAATCCGACAAGTTACCCCGATAAGCCAGTAACCCCGCTTCGTAGTACAGGCCACTGGGCTCTTCCATATTGCATTAATTAACGCTACACCACCCAGTGGCTAACAGATGCCCATCTGGGCTCAGACAGCTACCTGCTAGTCTCTGGAGAGTGGAACCATGTGTTGGCAAGAGCCAGTGTCCTCACCTCAGTTTCCTGCCTTCAGCTGCTTGGCTATTTACCAAAGTCATAAATCCATCCATTCATTCATTTTCAGAAACCACTTATCCTAGTCAGGATCACCAAGGGTCCAGAGCCTATCCTGGAGAGTACAGGCACAAGGCAGGGAACAACCCAGGATGGGGTGCCAACCAATCGCAGGGCACATTCACAAACTATGCACACCTATGGGCAACTTCGTAACTCCAAAAGGCAGGGTGTCATGCACACTTAGCGGATCCTCTTCACAGTATGGATTAAACTCTTTAAAGCATGTGGTCTCTCATTGAAAACTCCACCCTAGAGTTGCAGCTCTATGCAATCTGGTAAAGAACCAGAAACAGCTGTTTGATTTAGCGACTTACCTGGAATGAGACAATCTTTACGNCAGAAACAGCTGTTTGATTTAGCGACTTACCTGGAATGAGACAATCTTTACGGCAATCATACAGCATCCCCAGCTGGAAGGGTCTTCCAAGGGCTGCCACCTCCAGGGGCGTCTGTGAGTCAGTTTCCATGATTTGAGTTCTAAAATCTAAAAATGCAGGTGTATATGCTATGATTAATTCATAATTGTGTGAATGTCACAAATTACATAAAATACCAAATTATATAGTTTAAAATGACTTATTCTGAATTGAGCTTTGGAGGCATACAAGCAACATTTATGAAAATAAAAAGTCATTTTTAAAATTGTATTAATAACAGCTTGAACCCAGAGGTGTGTACAACAGTGCTAACCACTGCACCACCGTGCCTCCCCTATCATCATCATCATCATCATCCATCCATCCATTCAACCATTTTCTGCTGCTTATCTGGTGTCAGGTTGCAGGAGTACCAGTCTAAGCGAGGTGCCCAGACCTCCCTCTCACCAGACACATCCTCCAGCTCCTCTGCGAGAACACCAAGAGGTTCCCAGATATAATCTCTCCAGCATGTCCTGGGTCTGCCCCACGGCCTCCTCCTGGTTAGACATGCCCAAAACACCTACCCAGGGAGCCATCCAGGAGGCATCCTAGATATCTGCCCGACCAGCTCAACTGCCTCCTTTCGATGAGGAGGAGCAGCAGCAGCTCTACTTTGAGCCCCCCCCCCTCCCCCCCGAATGTCTGAGGTCCTCACGCTATCTAAGGCTGAGCCCAGACACCCTGCGGAGAACTAATTTCTGTCACTAGTATCTGAGAGCACCACAGAACGGTACAGCATCCTCATTACTGCCGACACTGCATTACTGCCGACACTGCATTACTGCCGGCACTGCTTTACCGCCGGCACTGCCTTACCGCCGACACTGCATTACCGCCGACACTGCATTACTGCCAACACTGCACTGATCCGTTTGTCGATCTCCTGCTCCCTTTTTCCCTCACTCGTGAAATGAGCCACTCAAATTCCTCCACCTGAGGCATCAACTCATCCCCCATCAAGAGAAGGCAACCCACCCTGGAATCCCCACCTATCGCACTAGTCGTTCCCTGGTCTTAAGTCTCGCGTGTATAGTGCGGTGTAGTAGAGGTATGGTGTCATATTTACTAGTCGGCAAAACGGCGAGATAGACATAAGTAGCCGAAGTGTCGATTTTATAAGTCAGCAAAACGGCGAGTTATATTTACTAGTCGACAAAACGGCGAGAGAGACATAAGTCGCCTGTCACGATCGGGCTTAAGGCGAGCAGGGAAACAGGCGAAAGCAGCCAGGAAGTCAGGGTAACGGGGTTTATTCCACGCAGACTGACAGGTACGGACAATACATGACAATACAATG